CCAATCATGTCATACCTGGCCTTTGAAATGCAGTCAGGTACCATATTAGGGCCACTAATGGGTGTTTCTAATCTGCTAGCTCCCTCAATATAAAAGTCAGGGTCCCCATCAGCTTTGTAACAGTGTGTGTTGGAATTGGAGTAACAACAGCTGACAGAGTGTTTTTTTTAGAGACAGTCTCTGCTACACAGAACTAGATTATTCTATTTTCCCACATGTATTCACTGTGCTTCATAGTTTTACATATGATTGTGTACCACCCTTTGTTGGAATATAACATGGGTACAAAAAATGAAAAAAAAGGCCTCAGTCATGAAGGGGTTAATTGTTTTTTCAGGGTCAGCAGTGTGACATAGGCAAATCTGCCTTTTGTTAGTAGCACATCACCACATACTAGTGTGGTACAGTGTATTGCATCAAATAACCACACTGTGAAGTGCAGCAAAGCAACACATCCTCAATCTCTCTCTTGTCATAGCTTCTAATAAACTTGTATACACTATATTCAACATGTTTGGGAGACCTAAAGGGAGAGGCAATGTGGTGGCGGGCTGCATTTTCAGAGGCAGGGCATGCCTGCCTTTACTTTCTGGCGGTGGACCTGCTATAAACCCTGAGCACGTGGAGGAGATGGAGGAGTGGATAATTAAGCCTTTCTCATCCTCTTCCTTCTATTCACAGGCACAGAGCAGCTAATCCTACCATTGCCCCAAAAACCTTGCATGATGGAGTAGGCTGAATTATTTTAGCACACCAACAATAACTTGCTGCAGGAGAACATGCAGGAAATCATTTTATCAGATGTTGAGAAAGAGAGCACCTGGAGCATAAATAGAGGGGGCAACCGATAGGAAGAAGCAATTGCCATTTTATATCTGTGAAAAATAAGGCAACTGGACTTGCTATATTTTTGTTGAAGATGTTTCACTGGTCATCCAACTCAATTCAGAATTGAGAAAGCTGGTTGGATGACCAGTGAAATGTCTTCAAGAAAAAAATGCAGCAAGGCCAGTTGCCTTGACTTATTTCTTACAGATATAACATGACCTGGATGAATGAGAACCTTCACAGACAATTGCCATTTGAGTTCCGGCAGCTGCATCTTATCGCCTAGAGGGCTCATACAATAAGGAAGGTGGAAATGCTGAGATGGCAGACCATACCTGGCTGCTAGATATTATAGAGAAGGAAAGATAAGGGACAAGCACAACATCAGCAAGCCAGGATGTCATCCAGGGTAGCTTGCAGAGGAATGGCGGGAGCAGCTGCCCTATTCCAGTGGATGCCACTGCCCCACGGGTGCAGGCCACTGCTTTCTCCAGGTCCCCTTCATAGAGCTCAGTATTCTGGATAATACATTTGTTACTGACATCACCATAGTGTTTTGCAAACTCTGTCTACAGCATATCACACATAGTAAATCTACCAGTCATTTGGGTACCACACGCATGGGCAAACACATGACTGTTCACCACTAAGCTCAGTGGAAGCAGCACATGAATCAATGTATTTATCATCAGCAAAGGGCCCACATTCCTCCTCCTCAATCTTCCCTTTCCACATCGTCCCCAATACCAGGAGTCTCTATCTGCATCCGCTGCAACATCTGCGGTCTCAAGCAATATGGATGGAAGTTGGCTTAAAGCATACTTTACAGTACATCAAGCAACAAAGAAGGTTAGCATGGTGCCATGCAGAATAGGATGAAGTCTAGGCTTCAACCTCACCTTAAGTCTCCTAACCCCACCTCGCTGACTCCAGCAGCATTCTTAACCAGGCAGGTATCTCTTCTTACTGCCTTTACAGTTGTTCCTAGTGGAGTTAGCCCCCCTTCTGTGATTTTGTGGTCTGTGTTGTGTCACCACAGATGCAGGTACCCAGGTTTAGTTCACCATTCAAAGAGGAGAACAGAAACAAAGTGGGGATCAGCAACACAATCCCTATTGTGTTCTTGCTGGAGCACTTGCTGCATGGCGTAATAGAACAGACACTAAAGAAACAGCATTTGGAGGAAGACTTCTTGATTTCTGAGGTCCTGCAGGATCCTTTCACAACTGACTCCATCCTTGTGAGGCATGAGAGAGCAGAGGAAGAGCACAAGAAGGAAAAGGAGGATTGGGGTTGCCGGTACATCCTGGCGAGATATTTGAGGACACCTTTATCCTCAGCAACACAGAGGACTCTGGTTCCTTTGCCACCAGAAATGTGTGGCAAATGTGCACATTTGTGCAGCATTGCCTGTGTTTTTTTTTCTGCAGGGTCAATTCTGCATTGTGTCTCAAAGTTTCTGTTGTATAATGGTGATTGGACACTGTCAAGGTGCCACACATATTACTTCTATTTTATTCTGAAAAATATAAACTTTAAAATGTTTTGGCCTCCAAAGCTAAATGGGGATGTGGTTTAGACAATGAGGTCTACAAGAAACTGTAGAAATACTACATATGTTTTGTCTAACATATTACCTTGGTTTTAATGTGAAAAATATAAACTCTACATATTTTTTGTCCTCCAAAGCTTAATGAGGGATGTGGTTTAGCCAATGAGGCCTTGCAGATAGTGACCTGGCTGGGATTTTAACCAGGGACCCCCAGTGCTGCAAGGCAGAAGCGCTAACCACTATGCCACTGTGCTGCAAGGGCTCAATATTCTGTCCTTTTGTTGGTGTAAAAATACACTTTATTGTGTACAATTGGCCTGAACAGCTTCATGCATTGTGTCATTTTTAAAATGTATACCAAGATATGTCCCATCCCACTCCTGACCGGAAACAAACCCATAAGTTGGGTGGATGCCGTAGTGACTTCAGATGCCTCTGCCAGTAACATGAAATCGATGAATAGTCACACGCACTCCAATTTCATACCAAGCCAATTCCTTCAATGACTATATTAGTGGCACAATCATAGCGACGTTTTGGAACCAAGTGGTTCCTTCTTCAGGAAAACATAAAGACACACAATTTTTAATTGTAGCCTACTCCAACTGCTGTAATGCTGTCTAGTCTGTACAAAGTTTTTTTTTCTGTGATACATCTACAATTAAATGTGGATTTTGGGGATAAAAATACTGCATGCTGTGTGTTCTTTTCAAAATGCACCCTACTCTACCTGCTCCATTGCTGACAATAGAGCCTGTACAATATTTCTGGCCTTTGTCTCATAAATAATATGCCCTAAATAGTATTTGACATAAAACCTGCCTCATCTCTCCCTCTCACACTAGAACCTGCCTCATCTCTCAATCTAAAACTGTGGCTTAGTAAAACTACTTACATGATGTCCAGCGAGTCAGCGCAATATTTCTGGTTATTGTATTTGACATAATACACTTTCATTTTAACTTCAAGATAAAACATTCCTCATCTCTCCCTCTTACACTATGGCCTAGTAAAAATGCTTACATGATGTGTGGTGAATTTGTGCAATAATTCTGTTTCATTCCTCAGAAATAAAGCGCTCTTCTCTTTATTTCTTGATAAATAAAGTCTTCCCTTTTTGATTGTGGCCAAATCAAGCTGCTTACATACCCTCCAGCCACTGTGCTATATGTCTGGCTGTTGTTTCAGCACTATAATTTTATATCAGTGTAACAACTGCCTTGACTCTGGAATGTGGGGTTGTGGTATTGAAGTGTTTTTGTGTACTCCATGTTGACGTTTTATTAACATTTGTTGACTATTAAGTGTGGTGCTGAACTAAAGAAAAACACAAGCTCTGCTATTAAACTGGTGTGCCCTTTTTTGCCATTGATACAAAGTTGAAGGGCTTAGTTTTATTTTTATTTTTTTTGGAAGTTTAAACCTTTTAAAATATTTTAAATCTGTTGTGTCTGCTACGTCCACTGATCAATTATGGCTTAATACTGCTATCTAAAAAAAACAGGTATTTCAGCAAAAACTGCTTACAAATACTTTTTTTTTAAAGTTGAAATGAGTCTGATTGGGGTGCTGATGCTGTACATAGGCCAAGGCATAATATAAAAGTGAACAAAATTACACATGCAAATTATATTATGTCAGAAAACTGTGTCACTTCTGCTATCTCTGGGTACCATACTGATCAATTACAGTGCATACAGCTTAAAGGCATCTCCCAAGCATGTCATTTGAAGGATTGGTATCTTCCCATATTGCCCTAAATGAGATTCTGCTGCTTAAAACAGATGACCCTGCCCCCCCTAAATGCAATTCCTTCAAATAGTTTTTTTGGATTGGTACAGTACTCAGCTCCCCATGCTCATTGTATGACAAACACTTGCATATTAACCTTGAAAAAAAACAGGATTGATTTTCAAGTCCTCCCCTTCCCCATTGATTTCAGTTGGGTTCAGATTATAGTTCACAATTTTTGGAGTTTACTATGAATTTGCTGCATGGCCCACTAATTGAATCCAAGCACATTTACTCACTAATCAACTTCTATATTAGTTATCAATATTTAGAAAAAAAATATTAATGTGAATCTGTCAGCCATTTTAAACTGTCTTCCATTATTTATTTACTTACCAGCTTAAAATGAACTTATGTGCACTTCCCCTGATTTAGTTTCCCTTTAATATTAGGTACCTGATTTATGAGCTATACCTCATATTTGTCTGTGCCCTTAATGGCAATTTAAGTGCTCCATTGGCAATGGATGGGGGGTGGGGGTTAATAGCGTGATAGCAAAATGTAGACTGTAATGTACAAAATGTTTAGGTAAGCATCCAACCATTTTAGTAATACCACTTCACAACATCAAAGCTGTCTGCAGAATTAGGGATCCATTCCTGTATGGGCAAATCAAACAATCAATGTGAGAAGTGTTTATACAACTTCAATAAATAGCCGCAAGCAGTCCTTTCAACAAATTTATTGTCAGTAGCCTTATATCTGTTAACTGCATTCAGAATTTACCAGCTCAAATAGGTTTCTAGTTAATGATGAAATACCCTAATGCTAGGTCAGCACATGCACAATTTAGGGTGCTTCACAATGGTTGGCACATGCAAAGTCTTACCTGAAATGCACATGGAGTATTGTCCATACAGTAAACTCTCAGGTTGTAGTCTAAGGAGTTGCAGGACATACATCCAAACACTGCCACTTTAAGCTCCTTCACTGCACAGTCTGTGAGTGGTTCCCCAACCAAAGCATAAGTGCCAAAACTGTCCATTAATATATGGCAAGCAAAGGGATCCAAAAGGCAATAAAATGAAGTGGTTTCATCATCTGTACACATCACTTCCTGAAAGAAAAGGAAAATTTCAAGAAAGAGGTTGATCAGAGGAAATAGTCTATTCTTCCTACAAAAGCTAGTTTTATAAATGGTTTGCTATGCCATGGCTATTGGTCCTATCCTACTCAATCAAACAATTCTGTTAAAACAGAAGCTAACACACAACAGCCCACTACTCCCCTTACTCACATACATTAACTATTGGGTAAATATACAAAACCAGTTAGAGTAATATTTACATATTCTACAGACCAATCACATGTTAAACTGGTGGGTTATTGGTTCCACAATGCCCTATGACAGGTGTTATAGCTGTCAGATTTTCCCTTTTTGCATGGGTACCAGAGCAGCAATATAAACCCTTATTGGGATGCCAATGCTTCCCTACAGTACTAAAATTTGTTTTTATTGCTGTCTGATGTATGCAGAGATTTTGCTAACTTCTGCTCCATGAGACTGCAAAAGAAGACATCATTCCACTGGGGTCATATATAGCAATAAAACTTAACATACACCAGGTCCTAATCTTTAAAATAATAATAATATTATTAATAATAATAATAATAGTCTGCCTGGAGTTCCAATTCAAATTGAATGGTAATTAAAACACAATCCCCTCTAGCTTATTAGAATTATAATGCCTACTAAATGTTTACAGCTGTTATATTCAGTATATATAAATGAATAAAGATGTAAACATTGCCTTTAATATATATTTAATAATTGGCCTGCTAATCCCCCAAAAAGATTCTAGAATGTTTAATATACGTTGGTTTAATTTTTTTTTTTTAGTTAGACAAATGGGCCATGCAATAAAATGAATGCAGCCTCTCTTACGTAGCTATCCTTTGCAATGTAGCAGTTTGTCACATTCAAGTTCAACATGCCTTGTAAACAACACATAAATCTGACCTTGTAAAAACAAATCACAAATGATACAAAAGACCAATGAGTTACAACTATATTACATTAGGTAACTCCCCATCATGCACCTTCGTAAGATGAACAGCAGTGTAAAAGTTATGACTTTATTGTTTCCCAATATACTGTATGCTGGCATGTGTATTCGTTTTCAGCTTTATGGTTTCATGACAATATAAAATCATAAGGACATAGTTCAAACATCTACCTCTTGGATCAGCAGCATCACCCATTTCCCTAGAACTGTTACAAACTACTTTATCTATTTAAAAGAGAAAATGGTCTTCTTTTTTATGAAAGCTACATGAAAATGAAAGTATCTTCAGAGTTCTTGTTGATTTGAATCATCCCCATTAGCTGACACAATAGCATCAATTCTTAAAAAAAGAGAAGATATTCTGCTCAGTTGTTATCCGCTGTGTGTTTTATTTGATTTATACAATCCATAGTATGGGATAGATGTTTTCTTGTGTAACTGAATACATATTCTTGGATAGTTTATACGTGACAGTTATTTGCAGTTGAGTCCAGTGATATTTAAAACTGATAGTTAATGTGGCTTAAAATTAAGATGATTATACTTGTGTAAAGCGTTGTGAGTTGATTGTGATATGTGCTTAAAGGGCACTTGCCTCCAATTTTCCCTGTTGGTTTCTTCTCTTCAGTCGGACATTCCAGTCACAGCTGACATCAGCGCAGTGTGGGATGGTTAAGGCCACGGGAGTAGGGAAGGTCATATCAAGTGGTCCACAGGTGACCTCAGGTCCCAAGAGAACCTCTGATCCTTCCAGCTGCAAGCTTTCAACAAATAGATCAGAGTTATATAGAGAACTACACATCTTATCAAATAACTTTTCTAACCCAGCACAGAAAACCGCTTTTGAACTCCTTAGTGCAACATAAAATCAATAAGGTAAACATACTGACAGGCTGAGAAGCTGTGGTTATTCAGGGATTCATGTTGGCAAATGGCCAGGCCGTATATCTTACCAAAATATGATTTGATTGCATTATATTTTTATTCAGTGCATTTTTAGACCAGAATATAATAAACTATCACAGTCTTGACTTGTGACTGCATTTAAAATAAAAGGTAATGGGTAATCAGCTGAAAATCTTTAGTCTGCATTATTACTTTTTCCTCTGATGCCGATGTTCCTAGGTTACCTTTTACCAATAGCTGTGCCCATAGACTGTCTGATATCTTTACAAAATCATAGATGTTTGTTTTGTATGACAACTGGACTAAAATGACAAAATAACATAGAGCTATCTATATTAGCATGAACTAAAGCTATTCTGGTATGAATTGAATTAAGGTGTGAACAAGTACAGTACTCCTACTTGAATCCCTGTACAGTCTTTTTACTCAAATTGTATCCCCATTTTATATAGACTTATCCTGTGCCAGATATTGCATTAGATCAAGACACAGCTCTATCCAAAATGGTCACTAGAGTCCATGGTATGATGCTCCGGCCATGGACATTCTAGGTCACTACTGTGCTGTCACTAGAGTACAGGCATATCTTGTATGGCTTTTATGAATGCTCCTTTTAAAGTCCTCTGTACCATTCATAGTATAGCCATTTACTGTACTTTTCACACTTTAAGAAATTGTCGTATAAATGTATGGTATATACCAGGATTTGGGATGAATCAGCCTGCGCTTAGAGACCAATGGGCTTGATTAATTGGCATACTGCACAGAAAATTTGTGTAAGTACTGTAAGTCTTTCAAATATTTCTACATCATAAAATATAGCCCTTGAAATAGATTCCAGACACATAGTATGCATTGCATAAACACACAAAGGCAGCACAAAGGATTGTGTAATGCACTGTATCTATGCTTTTAGGCAGATGCAGGCAGCATTGCTCTAGGGCTTAACATCTTAAAAGTGTTGAGCGTTTAAATGTGAAAACACAAAAGTGGTGTTCGGGGATTGCTTGGTCTCTTGCGCTCTGTCCCGTTTAATGGAGGTTTACTTCTTCACCTTTCCAATTGGTAAAAGCTTGTAATTTAAAGACAGGTGCTAAAAACCCATTAGGTCCCATTCAAGATACATGAAAGTCTGAGGATGGTCCCAGGGGACCATTAATGGAGACAAGGAGGAGAGAATGAAGGTCAGGAATGTGGAAGAGAGAGGAGAGAGAGAGAGAGAGAGAGAGTTAGTGAAGTATGGAGGACAAGAGGACAGAGGGTGGCTGGAGAAGAATAGATGATATATTACAAAATAGAGAAGATACAGACAGAAAGATTGATAACTGAATTGGTAGGTGAACTGATACAAGCAGAGGAAATATCATGCTCATAGAACATACTCATTACAGATACAACTACATTTAAAGCACTTTGGAAGACTTCAAAAGCAGAGGGAATTCTCATTTGGTCAGCTGGTCTCTAAGTGACCAAACATATAGTACATTTTTTTAACAACACAGTAGAAAAATCTATTTTTCATCTCAAATTCCAGCAATATTTGGTCATCAAAATATATACAATATTGTGGCAGCTTAATTTATTACAGAACACCTGGACTTAGTAAATAGTTGAATTTAAGTTTATGCAAGGGTCATTTAATATGCAACCCTATTTTTCGGTATAACACATCATCACTAGTTACAGATCAGATTTGCATAGATTGATCAAACTAAATTATAGATGTTTCTGATTGGTTCCTTTGAATATTGTCCATGCCATGTCATTGTGCCACAAGAATAGCGGTAAAATAACTTCCACTGTTATCCTTGCATTACTGCCCATTGAGTAAGGTCTGTGGTCCTGTGCAGTGTGCGCTGTTTTACATATGAAGATGTCCAGTAATACTTAGTACTCTTGAATCGATTCACTCACTTTTAGCAGTCATATCCATGCATGTTACTTTATTTATTATGTTTCAGCCGGGTTAATATTTTAAAATCAGATTAGTGATATTTCATAAAAATAAAACAAAATCAAATAAAAGTTATGTTTAAGACACACCACAAAACACTCTGAAGTAAGGTTGTTTAACCATCCTTCCCTGGTATCCAGATCCTCACTCTCTAATGCACTTGATCACCTTTATTTTTTACAAAGTCCAACCCAACCTCTGCATCTTTATAGCGACTCCTGAGAGGAGGTACAAGAAATGATGAATGCCACCTTTATACTTGCTGCTATCATGCCCCTGTTTTAATAAAGCAACAATGCAATGCTATTACCTTCCTTTGTTTGTCATGCTGTGGATACCCCATGCTCAGGGGCGTAACTAGAAATCACAGGGACCCATGGCAAAATTTTGTATGGGGCCCTGTGCAGAGCCCACTTGAGATCCCACGCAGCCCACCTGAGAGTGAGCCTGCAGAGCCCACCATAGACCCTCTGTGGTAGGCTCTGCAGGGTCACCCTCAAGTGTGCTGTTCACACTTCTTACCTGTCTGCCTCCTCTTCCTGCACGATCGCTGATGGGCCCCGTCTCCTCCTGCGTCACCGGGCCCCGTCTCCTCCTGCGTCACCAGGCCCCGCCTCCTCATCTGCTGCCGGGTCCAGCCTGCTCCACCTCCGCTGCTGGCTCTCATTAACTCCGCAGTGGCTGTGAGAAGAACGCGCTGCTGCACAGATCACTGTCAGTGATCTGAACAGCAGCGCATTCTTCTCACAGGCGCCAGTGAAAGCCACCAGCATAAGATGCCATAGCGACCCAGGCGTCCCGCACAGCATCTGGCCGGACCTCCCTGTGCCCCGGGCCCCATAGCGGCCGCCTGGGTCGCTATGGCAATTGTTACGCCACTGCCCATGCTGAGGATATGTTATTAAATGTCCTCTCTTTGAGAGCCACCAGCTCTCAATCATAGCTGTCACCAACATTGATTATGAACTAATCAGAGTGGTTCCGCTGCCAAAATAAGCCTTCAGCCTACAGAATGTGGATTTATCTGCAGCCTGAGTGTGGCAGTGTTCATCTGTTTAATACTGTAATTGTCAGATGCTGCAGTATTTAAATAATTGATAAGTTCAAGCTGAACTCCAGGTATTACTTATTATGCCTACGTACATTCGTTTAGATTGGCCTAATGTAAATATTCATATGTCATACCCAAGCAGCCCCTGGGGATCCTGTAAAGCACTGTAGTAGCTGGAGCCCTGGTACTGCAGCATGCTGAGCAGCCTCCCCTCTGCTTTGAAAACACAGGAGGTCACTTGTTCAGCACAACAGCCATTTAGAGAATGCCTAGTATTTCTATCAATTATTGGAACACATTCTCTGATTAGATGAGGGGCAGTGATATCCATTTAGAAAACACCTTGTAGTCATTGATAAAAATACAAGGCATTTTCTTAATGGCAGCTGTGCAATTCGAGAGACCGCCTGTGTTTTCACAGCAGAGGTTAGAATCATTTTAAAACTAGGATGGTACAGTATGTTCAATAACTCTAATAAATAACTTAAAAATATATAGTTTAGAAAATGCTTGTTTTTTACCTCATTTACTTCATTCAAGAGAAAGATCTTCTTTCTCAATCTTTTCACTCTTGTGTTCTCTCTGGATTGCAGATATTTCACCCTAACTTAATGTGATTTCCTGTCTGCTTTGCTACAGATATGTCTTTCAGTTGCGTGATATTACAAATAATCTTTTCTCTCGCCAGGCTAACAGCAGCTGGGGGTGTAATTCATTTAATCTATAAGCCAGAAGTTGATAAAATAAATAAAGAAATAAAGAAGTGCTCTCATTTTAGACAGCTTCTTAAAAAATAAAGGAAGCATTGTATCCTTATCTTGGCCTTGTCAGAACTAGTCCAGATGGAAATAGTTTGAAGACCTGTCTTAATTTAATGAAGGGGAGAATGGGCATGAGGGGACAGGCTTTGCTAGGCTGATAAGGTGTGTTGAGTCAAGGTGCTTCATTTTTAAAGATATGTTGTTTATTCCTGATAGAAATATATGCCAGTTGTGTTCTTATTTTCTGGATTAACCAAAGACTTGTTTTGCATTTTTTCTATACATTTTTTCATATATAAAACTGTCCCAGAGATCTCTTGGGAAGTTTAGGCGAAAAAAACAGTTTGCAAATAAAAAATGCAGGGTATTGAAAAGGGAGGATTTAAATTTGGCTCACCATCCACGGTCTACAACCTAAATTGCTAATAATAGCAGTTCCATACTTACCTTTTACCTTAGGAGGAGTGCAAAGGGAATGGAGTATAGGCTCCTTGTACATTTGAAGCTTGCTTGTTGTCTGCTTGTTGCTAAAACTGTTATGACCCCCTTCTCACATCACTATTCCAGGTGTAGTGATGAGCAAGTTGATCTGATTGGACTAACTTTTTATCTTTGACCTTCCCAAACTGCATGCCGGTGCAAGTTTTAATGTTTGCACCTCTACCCCACTGATTATATTAGATGAAGCTGAGCATTTGAACATATCAGTATTTACCATGGAAGTCCATTACTAAAACACTGACATCAAGAGTAAACATTCAGATACTTATTTTAGGGCAACAATTATATTGTTAAAATTGGTGGAGAAAAGATTTAATCACAAAGGGCATAGGGGCTTATTATCAGTTAGAGCGGTTGGTGTCTGGAACTCGCTGCCACAAGCAGCTGAGAGTGTTGAATCATTCAAAAAGCATTTGGACAATTTCCTCAGAGACCGTGACATACAAGGATACAGGTACCCTTAAAAACAAGATCACAGGGACTCATACACACACACATGCAGAATCACATATATACACGATATGGGTTGAACTTGGTGGACCTATGTCTTTATTAAACCTCAAATACTAGGTAACTATATTATTCTGT